GCCATTCATCTTGTGAGTTGACTAGAGGAGAAGTATAGGAATGGAAGAGGGACTTACATATGGTGTCTATTGACCTAGAAAAGGACTAAGCCAAAGTCCCGAGGGAAGTCATATGTAGAAGTTGGGAGGCTAAAGGTGTCTTGGGGGCTTGCGATGAAGGACATGTATAATAGAGCCAAGACTAGGGTAAGAAAAGTGGGCGACATGTCGCTTAAAGTTGAGTGATATCCTGTCAAAGGGAGGTGGTAGCTAACAGATGTCCCCGGGGACAAGCAGAAGTAACGTTTGGGGATTTGAGGTTCAGGAGAGCTTTCCAGGATTGGGAGGTGAATGAGTTTGAAAGGATGCTACAGTTACTCCGTCAGCATTGTGAGGCAGTTGACAGAACCGATTCGATAAGATGGAGGTTGGGAAACAATGGTGTTTTTCCTATCAAGTCTTCGGTGAGAAGATTTTAGTGAGGGTTGAGGAGGGTTTTCCTGTTAAGTTTATTCAGATTCCCAAGGTTCCGAGGAAGGTGTGCTTTTTCACTTGGTTAGCTGCTAGACGGGTGATCTTGACGACAAAGAACCTTAGGAAAACAAAAGTTATTTGCATCAGCTGGTATTACTTATGCGAGGAGATGGGACGAAGACGTAGATGATCTTCTGCTACATTGTAGCTTGGCCATGAGACCATGGTGGGACATGTTAAGCTGATTTGTAATGTCATGGGCAATGCCGAGAACTGTGAAAGAACTGTTGTTTTACTGGAAAGCTGGAAGAAGCAGGAGAAAATGCAGGGCCTAGAATGTTGTTCCTAGGGCATTGATGTGGATCGTCTGAGAGAGAAATTTGAGGTCTTTCAAAGGGGTAGAATTGAGTTTTTGGCAGTTGAAGAGTAGTCTCCAATCCCTTATTTGTTTTTGGTGCACCCGTGTAGTTACGGGTTGTATAGAGGATTATGTGTCCTTTGTAAAGAACCATATCTTTGTGTAGGTCCTTTACTGGTTGGTATACCTCTTGTATATGGCCTTTTTTGGCCTTGTTAATAATGAAAATATTTACCTGATAAAATAAAATAAATGAAATTTATATCAAATCACAAGGTTCTCATGATCTCAAAGTGATTGATTAGATTCTATATAAAGGAGCAAAAAAGATTTATCCCCCAATTCGACTACCCATCCAAGAGCATTTGGATTTAGAACACATTCCTCTTCTTATTTTTCTATGGACTGTCTATACCTAAAGGAGGATAATCTCTCCCCTTGTTGAGAACTTGCCATAAAATTTTGAATATGTTTTTCGAGGAGCATTACGATCTGCTAGGAAGTGATGACAATGCCAAGTCCCAAAAGTTGAATTAGCTTTCTGACTGCATTACTTTTACAATATGCCTATACATTCGTGTTAACAGCTACGGCTCCAAATGTAATAAGAAAAAAAATAAAAAACAAACGAAAATATGTTGTCTTCTTAGCTGCTTGAAGTACTTGAAATTGCCTGGTGCAGATTTTCCCTATTTTCACTCTCTTTTGCTTTCATTGTCTTACTTATTGGGATCGATACCTGCAATTGTGAACCAGCTTATTAGATTATGCTTTATGTGGATACAAAATTAAGAGTTGGAAGAAAAACGGAGCAGAGTGGTACCTTATAGTAGATTCTAAGCAACTTTCCAGTTGGAGATAAGAACTTTATTGATCTCTCACTGCAGAAAGCAATCTTATCGGTAGAGATGAAGAGAAGGCCTGCTATTGGACCAGCTGTAGTTGATAAATAGCATTGAGAAACATTCAATAGCTCTTCATCATCTTTAACACTAAACTTCTGCTTGAATATTTTCTCCAACCCTCCTACTTGAAGAATTTTTGCTCCAAGGTTCAATTTTCCCTTCACAGTGTCCGTTAGCTTCGGACTAAGGCTCACTGCACAATTAAAGTTGAAAATTAAGGACTTTACAATCAGTACTTTCTGTCATACATATTAATAGTGCTTATTGCACAAAATTTTGTACATCTTGGCTCCCTTTATCTGTTGTTGTTTATATTGCCACTTGTGTTTGGCCATGATTTCACTTGCAAATACTGATGTAACTATTTGCAAGTTGATGTTTGGCGCCATATTTATAAATATTGAATATCAGTGGTTTGAAGTAGTCATAAATTATTTAAAAACTTATTTTAGGAATTTTTCTAGTGAGATGATGGTTTTCATTCACAATACTTCAACTTTGTCTTTTCTAAGTAAACTCATGTCTGCACACAATTTCAACTTCAAAATACCAGTTTTTATCTTAAAATAAACTATTGTCTTGGTAAATTTTCGATTGTTCTTTTTAAGTCTTAATCATGAATATAAGTGCTCACCATGCTCGCGGATGCCTTGTGCAAGACAGTCCATCCTTTCTCCAAGTTTGTTCATCTTGCTAATTACAGATTTTCCTGCATATTCAAGAATATTTAATTTTAATGATCTCTTCTTAGAGGGTCATTAATACTCTTTATAACTAATACAAGAACACGTCGATTATTCTTCGAGGGAAAAATACTCACTTTGCTTTATTTTAGGCAAGTGTTTTGAAGTTGCAGATGGAAGATGGTCTTGGCAAGCAGATAGAGACAGTAGTCTTTTTGGCTGCCGTTCAAATGAGTATACTGCTGAACTCATGGTAACACCCACCTCATTTCTACCGAGTAAGTTCTTCATTGTGACTTCTGATTTTGGAGGGAGTTGCTATATTGTGAAGGTAACTGAGATATTATTATGGTTAATGGTTTAATAACATTCCTTGCAGCACTATATATATACAGCAGTTTGGGCAAAGTTGATGAATCTTTTAACTACTAACTGTTGCATGAGTCAGCTATGGGTCAGCAAAATAGAATATTTAAAATGTCTTCTTTTATCTGTCTTTTTAATTACAGTAAACTATCTCATGCTGTCTTAGTTTATTATCAAGATTTGTGTGCACATGTGGTGTTGTCAACTTTTGAGTTGAAAGATTTTCTTTATGATGTAAGCTGCTTTTACAAGTTGAGTAAAAGTAAGAGAAGGCTGTTGGTGCATAGTAAAATTATTAGTCTTGTATGACAAAGGTTGACAAGATAATGACACGGATTTATATATGACATTAAAGTTAAGTAGTGGTTGTGGGTCATGAATGAGTCATCCATGAACGTTGATTTGTTGCTTAATAAATCAGGCAAAGGAAAAAGAGGATCCATTCAAATATTTCAATCTGTTACATAGGGCCAACAGTTCTAGATTATATTAGCTTCTCTTATAAGGCAGTTACCTTATCTTGCCCTTTTTATCATCTTATCTTGCCTTTTTTGTCATCTTATCTTGAGGTGTAAAGGAATTCATTGTGCTTATAGTGCTAACCAACGGTGAAGGCTGTTTGGTCGACATTGACATTGAGAGTTTCTGGTATTCCTTTTTATTTCTCAATCAAATGAATGACATCTTCTTCTGCCTTTCCACCCAACTCTTTGGTCTTAAGAACACTGGTTTTATGAATGAGTCATTACCCTTCTCCGACCCTGACTGCCCAACCTAAGAGTGGTCAGTTAATGCGTTCCACTTATTTAAATCGGTTCTATGGTCGGTCCGTGACCCCTGGATGCCGAAAGTGTCTTTGGGTGATCTCGTAGTTCCTACACGGTGGAGATGATGGGGTCGGTCTATGGATATTCCTTCCTTTTATTTTGCTGCATTCACCCAAAGGGTTGAAGGGAGATAGTGCATCAAGATTTTCGCAAGGGACAACTTGATCTTCTTTACACGGGTACAAGGACCGCAATCACAACTTTCTTCCTTGGTTATCAAATCTTTAGTGTTGCGATTGCTGCACAAGGCCTGCGGTTGCAACACAGGTATCTCAGATACACAACTATAATTTTTTTTCACTTCTCTAGATTCTCTGTGCAAGAAGATGTATCTCCCTCATTTCTTCCCTTCCTCAAGGTAAGTCATTTTAACTTGATTGAAGCTACACCTAATATAATAACACATGATCTAACTCTCAAATCTTAGATTTTCAGTTGGATTTCCTATTCAGCCAAAACTTCATTCCCGACTTGAGATTTGAACTATTGAAGCAATTGGAGATATTTGACAGTACCAAACGGTTTATAAGACGCTCTTTATAACTTATGAGCAGTGTGAATATGCTATGGAGATGATATGAAGGGGATGGATGAAAGAGGCTTAAGCATGTTAAGTTCATGCATGTAGAGTAGTGGAGTATTTTTCTCGTTACTGTTCCAATGTTCAGCCGAATACTTTAGCTGAAGATGGAAATCTCCTTGAGTTTCAATTGGTGCTAAGGGTTAGATGCTAAGTGCTTTTCCAATGGCGTAATTGAATTGATCAACGCCCTCTTATATATTCTGATGAATTACAACAACAACGTTAACATACCCGGTGTGATTCCACCTGTGGGGTCTGGGGAGGTTGGGGTGTACGCAGACCTTACTCCTACCTTGTGTGAGGTAGGGTGACTGTTTCCAATAAACATTTTGAATTGACAAAGGTATTATATTTTTACAGAGAGATTCTCAAGCAGAACTTGGGCTAGACTTGGTATTAATTATGCAAATTTTGCCTAAATGTTTCTCCAGGTGAAAAGGAAAATCAAGGGGAGCTCCCTTTGTTTGAACCTTAGCATAATATTTTAAATGTGTCTCTCGAGGAAGTGATGACTATGTCAAGTCCCAGAAGGTGAATTAGCCTGCTGACTGCATTAGTTTTACAATAAGTTTATACATTTGTGTTGACAGCTACAGCTCAAAGCCTAAAGCCTCCTTTGAGCAATGGAGCTAATTACAAGTTCGAAAAGATCTGTACATTCATTTTTGAATCAACATATTACATTGATGAATGGGCTTATTAGGAAACAAAATGAAAATAAAAAAAGAAAAAATTATCTTCTTCTGTAAGTACTTGTATATACTTAAGGAATCCCATAAACCAGAACTCAAAATCATCTTCTGTGGTGGCTTTTCCCTATTTTCACTTTCTTTTGCTTTCATTATCTTACTTATTGGGATCGATACCTGCAATTGTGAACCGGCCTATTAGATTATGCTTTACGTGGCTAGAAAATTAAGAGTTGAAGGAAAAATGGAACAGAGTGGTACCTTGTAGTAGATTCTAAGCAACTTTCTTGTTGGAGATATGAGCTTTATTAATCTCACTGCAGAAAGCAATCTTATCGGTAGAGATGAAGAGAAGGCCTGCTATTAGACCAGCTGTAGTTGATAAAATAGGATTGAGAAACCTTTAATAACTTTTCATCATTTCTAACACTACACTTCTGCTTGAATATCTTCTCCAACTTGAAGAATTTTCGCTCCGAGGCTCAATTTTCCCTTCACAGTTTCCGTTAGCTTCGGGCTAAGGCTCACTGCACCATGGAAGTTGAGACATTAATGACTTTAGAATTGATTCTTTTTATCATATATACATGTAAATTATGATTCTTGCATGAATTGTGGGACTTCAGGACTAACTTCTCTGTATTCTTTAGGCTTACGATTGTGTTTGGCCACAACTTCAATTCGTAATACTGAAGGCATTATTTGCAAGTTGAGGTTTATCAGTATTATGCAATAACACGTGAAAATTTTGTTTGAGGAGTATTTGGTATTCAACCACAAAACTTCAACTAAGGCAAAATATTCTTTTTCAATTTTCCAACTTCAAATACTATGTGAGTGCTTACTTACCATGCTCGCGGATAATGCCTTGTGCAAGACTGTATTGACCCTCTTGGTCATTTTTGTGTCTTGCCTTCTGTGTGTCGTTTAGAGTGTTCCTATAGCGACCCCAAGTCATTTATGACTTACTGGGACTGACAATTCGATCACCTGGTCGTTCGTTTGGTCTTGGTGCGAGTTTTTGTGTTTTGGAGCTTATGAACCTTGAACGATCATTTTCGATCAAAAGTTCAAGAGGATGACATCGGAATCCAGGTCTTTTTGGTTTCCCTTCAAATGAGCACACTGTTGAACTCATGGGAACACTTGCCACATTTCCACCGAATTAGGGAATGTTGTTTTTCTATTCGCCTATGTTATGGCGGACAAAATTATTCAATACTTGTGTTGGTTTGAGGTAAGTAGCAGTGGGAGAGCCACATATATCGAATGGTGGCTGGTTAAATACCCTTCGTCAAAAAATGATGTTACTATATATGTTGGTAAAAAATTACTTAATGAATTCTGGAGTAGTTAGAGTATGCACAAGTTGACCTGAACACCACCGTTGACATCACATATCATATCATATTATATTATAAGTGGGAAGCCTCTCTGTCAAAAGTTGAATTACAAAAATGTCCTTATAACATCATAATATTTATGGAACAAAAATGTAAATATACATTAAATATTAATAAAAACTATTGTATTTTCTATTAAACACTATTATTACATATTTATGAACAAAAATATAAATACACATTAATTATAATAAATATCCTAATATATTTTAATAATAATATTAATATTCTAAAAATAGGAGAACTCACAATCTATGACATGAATTAATATAGATACAATGAATATTTGTACAATTGGATGATATCCTATTAAATGACAAAAGAAAATCAAAAAGTTTGGCAACAGTTAAAATGACCCTTAAGTGTACCTCAGTTACTCCTACCGTGCAGAGTTATAAAAATTTTCAGATAAATTATATTCATAAAATTATATTAAATGCTAAGTTATTGCTTCAATAAATACTTACTATGGAAGCTTGCAATCGTTTAAACTTTTGATTTTCTTCTGTTATAATTAGCACAAACTAATGATGAATTACATACTTGGTAAATTAATTATATATATTAAAAGTGGGAACAAAAAGAAGTTATTATTCATAAATAATAATTAATATCCATAATAATAATGAATCAAAAGTTAGTTTACCATTTTATCCTTCGAGTAAAAGCAAATATTCATTTGAATAACTTTTGTTTACATAAGAAAATATAACAAAATTCATTAACCCCTCAAATTCAATGAATCCAAATACTATATATGCTTTCTGAAAATGCCTACTGCCATAATTTTATTTATCTCTTTCACCTTCTCCTTCACTACATGTTTAGAGGAACAAAAACGTTTGGTAAGGGTGAGGAAGACATTGTGTAACAACAATTAATTATGGTCAGGTCACATGTGTATAAGTTCCCTAAATTATTTTACTCATTAAATTTTATTTCTTTCATCTTCCATAGAGTCTTTTTACATTCTTCATTTATATTAATATTAAATTTCTTGATTTTTACTGGTTGTACATAGGTGTAGTTTTATCTTCTCCGTGATATTTATTCTGGTCCATCTTTTCATATTCTTTAAAATACTCTATAAAGTGCATCATAAGGTGTTCTTTAAAATACTCTTGATAAGGTGTGTTTGTCCCATTATTCCATTTGCCTTCTTTCAGTTAGATTTCTCCTCCAAGAAGAGTCTACTTCAGGTAAATCTATTCCAATTGATTTAGCTACAAATATTTACCACTTTTTGTATTATTGCTAAACTAGCAACATATTCACTTCTTTTAGTATAATATGTATTTCTGAAAAGCTTATGTTGTAATAAAACTCAAATTCAGATAGAAGTAATTGATCCGTGAAATCCTTTGCATATTTGAACTTTGAAGTGTGGACATGGACTATGTTTGGAGCACACAGGTTCACATTTGACTGTGTGTGTTTGTGTAGTTTAAAATTATATGGAATACACGTGCAAAGCACGTGTCCAAGGACTAGTATTATTAAAAGTAGGAAGCTCCAAAGTAAAAAGTTGAATTACCATTTTACCCTTACACTAAATAAAAATTTAAAATCAAATCTTAATATCTTAATAAATAATAGTAATATTTTAATTGTATAAAGGTAGCATTAAAGTCCAACAACTACAATTTTAAAATATAAAATTTAATAATAATTATTAAACCAAGCGAATAATATTAGATTCACCGAAACCGAGTAAGGAATAGATGATTCATTTGCCAGTAATTATTATAGTAGCATATTTCTTTATAGTAATTAAGATACAACCTTTTCTCATTCCAACATTTATTAGTTTGAAGCTTCTACATGTTATATGGATGATTGGTTCATCTACCAAAACTTATTATAACATAAGTTTTTTAATACATAGTAATTTAGATTACAATCCTTTCTCAACATTTCTTAGTTTGAAGTTTCAGTCGATTACACAATTTATTCATTCATAATTATTAATCCTTCGTTATTTGACACCATAGTGTCAAATCACATAATCTTTGTCCAGTCTTTCTTCTTTTGTCGGGCAAATTTTCTTCTGCAATTTTTATTTATTTTTTTCAAAGTTTTTTTTTTACTTTCAATGTATGAACCTCAAAATATTTTTGGATGTTCTTTTGAAATTTGATTAATGATTTGAAATTTTGCAGATGGATTTGGATCATTTGCAGTCTAAAGGTATTGATATTTTGTCACGACCCGATTTATCAAGTCATGATGGCAC